ACTGCTGTTTCTGCTAGGATGCTGTGTTTGGTAGCGATCATAATTTGTTTCACGCATATGTCACTTCAAGTGCATATGCAGCCGGCTTTAACGCATGGAGTTAACATCAAGGCTGTGGAAAAAATCATGAAGTAATGGTTTTTTAGTCTATCTCTCCTGAAAATCATTTTTGGCAACGTGAATTTTTCCATTTTGTCATATTATATCCAGGATATGGTTTTGGAATTTTTTATATGTCTACTTCTTTTCCTTGTTCATTTTTTTGAAAGAGGTCGTACAACTTTTTTTTGCTTTTTCGTTTTTATATTCTGGATCACTTTTTATTTATCTCTTTTTGAATTGGGAAACCATAGATTTGTAAATTATGTTATTTTGTTAAAATATATTTCTTTGTCTCTGCCTTTTCTTTTTTTTATGCACCAGCAATTAAAGCCTTTTTTATGCTTAATGCTCTTTCAAACTTGAAGTTTAACAGCCTGCTTACATTCTTCACCCTGATTTAAATCTAATTAATGTTCGATAATTTTTTGCGTTGCGCAATGTTTTGTAATATAACTCTTAATAATGCTAATCCTATGACTGGTACTATTTAAACTTTGGGACGGCTTTCTTCTGATAACCGTCTGTTGTGTGCCTCAGCATGTGGTCTTGAACCACGCCGGGACCACTGAATTAACCCTGGCCCGATTACATTTTCTTGATACCCACGGTGAAGAAAGTCGGAGAAGACATGGACACAACCGTTTAGTTTAGAACTCGAACACGTTCTTGTCGCTGTGTCGTTTGTTTGCTTTGCGGGCGTGTACTTATACCTTGGAAGTGTGTCATACATGTGATAACATCGAGACTTAGGTGTAAGTATAATTCACGATAAATATCTGTATTAATAAAGGGGGAGTTGAAAATTAGCGCTCCTGGTGACATGCTCCGAAAAGAGAAACCCTGTGTCGGAGGTAGAGCAACCGGATTAAGAGGTGTGGATAAACACGAATCACGACACGTCTCTCTGTGTTTAAAAGTTATTGTTAAGCTGAGGTAGAATCTGACTCAAAGCAACCTGTACGTGGCCATGCATTCAGAATACGTAAAATGTCGGTTACTGTTAAGTTTTGCACACTGTAACAGCAGCAAACTTTTATATATGTGAGTGCACTCTGACACCTTTCCCATAGTGTGGTAATAATGAATTTTTGTTGTGATCGAACGAGTGTTGAAAATCCAAAAAGAAAAATTATGCTTTTTTGTGTAATTCCTAAGCTGTTAAATAGTATATTGCGGCCCTCTTGTGCGGTTCTGGAACCACTCCAGGTTCGACGATCTACGATGACGAGGCCCGACCCAAGCAGATTAGAATTGCAGATGTTGCTGATTTCAGCTTGTTTATTGGGGCAGTTGCGGTTTGTGCACAGGATAAGAAGTGCATTTATAATGCTTCGCTAGGCATCGGTCCATGAATCATGATCTCTCACGGTTGCTAATTTACGTATTTTGACAAAAATTTAATTGTGTAATATTTGACAAAAAAGAAGCATCGATTTTATACCATGCAAAAAAATAATGAGTGTTAGAAGCACACTTTAATATAAAACTAGTTCAACATATTGGGTGTGCTCCGTAAAGAGACATTTCGGGAAACATTGGCAATTGATGTAACGCAAACTGTTTTATTAGGATGCATAACTACGTTAGTTCGTAAATTTATTCTGTTAGATCTTGCAAAATTTTTTTTATTTAACATGGGTAACTAAGCGTTTTATCTCTGGATGATTTACACCTTCATACCAGCCTGGATTATCATGAGTGAATGAACAATTTAGGAATTTGGGGCCACCTTGCAAAATACAGTGTGAAAATAAATGTTTAATGTCAGAAAATGAACGATGCACTGTTACTTCGCTACTAACGGCCAAAATGCATTCGTTTTCAATGATTGGAATGTTTTGTTTAAAGTGACGTTCACATTGTAAAGCGTGGATTTATTGAGTGCTGGTGGACATGAGGTTTGTGGTTTTTTCTTCCATTTAGACCATTTCTTGAATACATAAATCATACTTTTCTAACTTTCATCTAGTAATTTACGCTGCCAGAAACGTTTGGCCGCAGCTGTTCTGGGATGTGGCAAGAAAAAAATTTGGTTGGACCCTAACGAGAACTCTACCATTGCTTCGGCCAACTCCAGGAAGCTTATCCGCAAGCTGTTCAAGGATAACTTGATCATCCGAAAGCCAATAGTTGTGCACTCGCGATTTCGGGCTAGACGTCAGCTTATCGCTCGTCGTCTCGGTCGGCACACTGGTGTCGGCAAGCGGAAGGGTACAGCCGATGCTCGGATGCCCCAAAAAGTTCTTTGGATGCGGCGAATGCGCGTTTTGCGGCGCCTATTGAAACGTTACAGGGCCTCCCACAAAATTGATAAGCACTTGTAAGCTTTCTGCCATAAGTATTTTGAAGTCCTCCTTAGTCATTTAATTCTAATGTTATCTTAGTGTAACCTTACTGTTTCTGGCGACAAAATTATTGACGTTAATTTGTAGGTATCACCATTTGTATCAACAATGTAAGGGGAATATTTTTAAGAATAAGCGCATTTTGATTGACCACATCCACAAGAAGAAGACGGAGCGTCTTCGCGCAAAGCAGATTGGTGATCAAGCCGAAGCTATGCGTCAACGAAAACGCGAGGCAAAACTTCGCCGTGAGCAGCGCCTTATTGAGCGTAGGAAGAACGTGCTGTTGTTGCCAAGCCCGGCTACTTTACCTTCGGCCAAGCCAACAAAGGACGAATCTAAGGCGGAACCCCCTAAGACTAAACCTAAGGAACCTGAACCACCAAAGAGTGAGCCGAAACCGGCCCCTCCGCCCAGGTCTGAGCCACCAAAAGTAAAAGAACCTAAATCTGGTAAAACTGCTCCTGTTCCTAAAGTTCCGTCGTCAAAGACTCCTGCACCTCCCCCCAAGCTTCCAACCGCTTCGGCATCAAAGGATACTGTTAAGACCAAACCTACTAAGAAGAAGTAGATCCTCGAAATATATTGTCTGCAATTGGGTTATTTACCCCTGTCCTGGTGTCATCTTGTTCCTTTAAATTGGCTTTCCAACGGGAGCTGCGGGAAACTAGATTGAGCCTTTCGGATTCGGTTCGAATGCTTTGTAGTGGCCAAAAAGTCACCTTGGATTTGTAGTCTTAGTAGTCGTCCAGTGATCATGTCTCGCAGGTGGACCCTCAGCAGCTTCCAAAATTTCGATGCCGTTGGCGCTAGGCTCTGTGTAGTTTACGGAGCTCGGGAGCTTGTGCTTCCTCGGGGACCTCATGACTTATCTTCCGAAGCTGCGAGCTCAAGGGGAGTTGTGACTGCTTGTTCCGTTCGCTTTTTGCCGTTGAAGCTTTTGTTCAGTTAGTACATAGTTAAAAATCGTAAATTCATGTAGTTCAAGGCAGGGACTGCCTAGATCCAAGGGACCTCTGCAGATCTTGTTCAGTTTCTCCTCAGGGCGTTTTGTAACGGGACCGCAAATATTTCCAGAAGTTCGAATTTCCCCTCCGATGCTAAATTCAAATGCCTGACTTCTAACACCCAAGGATGGCTTTGCGGTGTCGAGGATTCCCATCATATCTGGTACTCTGGTGCCGCCGATATGATCCTTATTTATGTGCAGCTTCAGCACAGTAAAATTTCCGGACTTACAAATATGTCTTCAATGATGTAGGCAAAGTTGTGCTAATGGGATGCGGCGGTTAGGAGCGACCCATTTTGAGAAATGTGGCTAAGCAGTTCCGAACCAGGCATGCAAAAGCACCTTACCTGGCAGCGGTGCTAAGCAGAAGGCCCGATTAGTGCACAGAAAACGAGCTATTGCGTCGATAGTGTGCTCTGAGTACATCAATTTTCACAAGTAACATCGTGATCGATCAAAACACGTCTGAGATACTGTTAAAATACGCGAACGTCATATCTGGAAAATTGTATGCACTCCGTAGCAGGTCGTAACCTCGTGTTTAAATTGAGCCACAAAATTTTCGTAACATTTTTCATAATTTTGGTTCCTATACATTAATTTTTGTCGAAAATTGTGAAAAGTAGTCACTTGATGAAGTAGTTCTGCGGGGTTACTTTCTTTGGTGTTTGTACTTGATCCTAACTTTTATCGCATTTGATATTTCGTCTCACAAAATCTGACAAAGATGCAGGTGTGGCAAGACACAGAATCCTTCATTGGGTTAACCTGTGATAGGACTCCCCGCTCGTTGTCTTGATATTGCAATAAAAAGACTTAGTTCTGAGTGCTTCAATCAAAACATGTATGTTTGCATGTGTGGGTCAGCATTATACACACATAATTCAAGGAAATATACGTAAATAATCAGGAAAAAATATTTGTATTTCTTAAATCTACATATTGCGAAAAGCGTTAGAGAAGGCCGAATAGTTCAAAAATTTTGTTACTTGAATACTAATACATTACTTAAAATGAAAAAAGGGGATTTTGAAGTCCAATCCGGTGTGTTCATTCGTTGGGCACAACTTTATCGACGATTTTGGAAAATTCAATCGAGGATAAGTAATGAGAACCTCACTTGTACTAGGTGATGTATCACCATAAACCTATGAGGGCTGTTTACGACACCATTTGTGCTTCTTACAAAGGGTTGCAATGAGTATGAAATCAAAAAATCACGATACTCCTGATATATTGATGAAATACTACAAACTGCGCTAGGTGGTAATCACCAAGGCCCAGTTGGCGACGGTCAGTTGAAGCTATACGAATACACGACAATTCAAGTAAAGGAATAAACAATTACGGAACATCTAAAGTAACTAGAAATCTCGGGAAAAAGAGGGCCGTATGAGCAAAATGGAAGCGTTGTCTGCGTTTCCTTGCCACAATCGAACCAGTCTATTTCTCACTCTGCGAGGAATCGTAATGGATTAACCCACTATGCGGTCGAAGTACACTCACGGTAGGAGATGTGACAAGGTTGAACTGCAAAGTACTTCTCAGATGCGTTCATGTTGTCCCTAGGCGTGTCTACAGCCAACATATCCACAGAATAAGTTAGACCCCCTTACTATTAAGATGCGCGACGTACTTTGCAGAAACTAAAAGAATTTAGACAGGAAATGCTTCCCAACTCTCTCTATACATTGCAACCTTCATAAATCAGGGTTCTCAATATAAGTCTAAATGGCAGCTCAGGAAAGATGAACCGATTTTTGCTTAACCTTATCACCAAGATCTTAGGATTACTTGACTCAGCTAGTTTGATGTTCCCACCGGCTAATTATTACCAGACAATATGCAATATTTGTGTCCATATCCCTACTGCATAATTTATCGAAATGTCATTTTATGCTACAGTCTCAAGTGGCTTCACTAAAAACAGGTCAAAATAATATTTGAGAATGCTGTAGCTTCCACAACTGTATGAGTTTGGTACAATTTTATTTCTGACGATTTTAAAACGAGGTAACTATCATCTTAATATAAATTCTTAAGTATAATCATGCGTGCTGTTTTTCCTTCTCACTAAACGTTGGTTTGTGCTGCTGTATTTGGGAATATTCGATACTAGTCTTTTGGGGAATCCACTGCAGCTTTCATATTTTCTAATGAAAAAACCAAAATGGTAATATCTGCTTACCCGCATTGCCATAAATTAAAATTTTGGGTAAGGGCTCCTTTCAACAGGTCTGAATAGGCGTTGCCGTGATTTACTACTTAAAAGATACATAAAAGCGCAGTTACAATAGCTTAAAACCGATGTTTCATGCAAATATTAAAAGCTAGGCTTGGCATGACTACTTTGAGACTTCTTTTACTAGCTGCGATCTTAGTTGGTTTGAAGGTGTCTTCTGCTCCAATCAGCGGCCCGGGAGGAAAGGTTGAGATCCATTGCATAGAAGAATATCGTCGGTATTGCGATGGCAAGCCAAGTGGATTGGTGTACGTTATGAATTGTGCTAGAAGTAGTTTTTTCCGCTTAAAACACCGAATTTTGTTTTTTTTAAAATGACCTAAATGTTAATTGCAGTGGTGGTGATACTGCGATTAGAGTGCACCGTCATTCACCGTAGTTTGGCCGCGTGGGCCTGCCCCTTTTGGTGGGTCTGTTTCCTAAAATTAGGAGAAAAGTTCCAACAAAATGGTATTCCAGTGGTTTCTTATCATCAGACCTCGAGGGTTATGTGCTTCATATTTACAATGCACAATAAGGCACCAGTTTAATCTGAGGTCAAAACTGTAGAAAAATGGACTACATTGGCTCCACGTGTGGCATTTTTGCAAAGTAACAATTGAGCAATGAAGTTATTGCCGGAACAACAGATTAAGCAACGTTACAGGTCGATTTTACCTCCCACTCACAGGTTCAGTGATGGATGTCGTCTGTGCAAGTGCAAAAACAGGACGGTCTTCTGCAAGAAAGGCGGGTGCAGCTTCTTCGCCGAACATGACCAGGACGTTCTGGATTATTGTGATTCGGTACTGGAGAAGGTAAGAAGTGGTGAAGTATCATCTGAGAGCCTGGAATTGTGTGATAGAGTGCAGTATTCACCCTGCTGCGCCAGGAAATTCATTTATTATTAAAATGTGGAAATGACTTAATGCCGTTGGAAGGCGTTTTCGTGAAGTCGAAAGGAAGCCAACTTGTTCAGTATTGTCATCCTCTGTGCGCTCTTTTAGTTAGAACTATGAACGGTAATTTGGATCTGGGTGACATTGCTAAAGTCTATAAGTACGTTTGTTGATCTTGGACGTGTCAATAGCTGTTTCCAGATCGTAGCCAAACTTGAACGGGTAAAACTTTGATTTCTTGTATTCATAGAATTTCAAAACCCACTCTACACCCAAAATTCTCACTTTTACCTACCCCAACAAGCACGATTGTCATTTAGCCCCGTACTTCAAGGACCCTTATAAAAAAGTTGATACTAGGACAGTAAATTTTCAGGTAGTTGTGAAATGTTTAGGCAACCAGATTGTCAAACATAACATAAATGTCAAATTTCATGCATAAAGTTATAATTGCTTCACATCTGAACGATATTCAATGATCAATGCAGTATCCGTGGCGTTCTATAATCCGAACCATGTAAATATCGTTTACAATTGCAGTCTGCACTAATCCCTCTGAAACACTCGAAAATGAGTGAGGTATAAGCCGAATTCCACATTTTCTTAAAAAAGTGACTACTGACAAAGTTAGGCGATCACGATAGCTCGAAGTATGCAGTGTCATGATATTCCTGTAGTTTTTCAAACCGTATTCCCCGTGTTGCTTTTCTTAGGCAGTATTTCACGAGTATCAAACTGGAGAAGTGCATAACTCCTCCTTTTGATGGGTGTTTAAGTCTACCAGTTCGCTAAAATTCACATTTGGGAAGAGTAACATCGATTTAATTTAAGGTTAAAACTATGCTTCTACTTAACTGACAGGCTGCATTAAAATCAGTTTGATGATATTATTTGACGCTTATCTTTGACCTTCCAGAACGCTCAGACTTATAAAAAGGCAATGGCGAAAACAAAGAAAAACGTGACGGACCTAGAACCTAGTACTAAGTCTACTTTAACGTCGAAGCTGAACCTGGACAACACTGAGGAAGTAGCTGGCAGTGAAAGAGTAGAAGCGAAGGCAAACATCCGAAAATTGCTTAACTCATACATATCAAATCACCTAAACGAGTTTACACCCAGCATGATCGACGAATTGTTCCATTTGGCAGAACTTGAAGGGTCGCCTGCTCAGGAGAATGCGAAGCAGGAAATTGAGAAATCCAACCCAATATCGTCTCAACAGGTGCAATCTACAACCGACGTTAATATCGGCCCCCAAATCAAGGAGGTCATGCAAGAATACTTACCACCTCCTAATGATGACCCCACACTTTTACCTAGAGGTGGGTCACATCCCAGGGCCCACAGTTTTCCCTCAAATCCTGAAAACTTCCACAACGATTTTCGTCAACGTTATGATCAACAGGTCTCTGAAAAGCGTGACTCGTCAGCACAAGTAG